CCATTTTTTGGTTCAGTTTCCATTTTTGAATATTTTTAAATATTTTTTAATATTATTTTAATATTATTCTTAAAAAATACAAAAAATATTTTAAAAAAGAAAAGACTCTTCTGTTGCTGTGTGCTCTCATTTGCTGTCTCCTGCCTGTGTTAGCTCTACATCAGGGCCATTTTTTGGTTCAGTTTCCATTTCTGAATATTTTCTAAAAATACCTGTCTTTTATTCTTAAAAAAATACAAAAAATATTCTTAAAAAAAAAAGACTCTTCTGTTGGTGTGTGCTCTCATTTGCCCTGTCTCGTGGCTGTGTTTGCTTCATATCAGGGCCAGTTTTTGGTTAATTTTCCATTTCTGAATATTTTCTAAAAATACCTGCCTTTTATTCTTAAAAAAATACAAAAAATATTCTAAAAAAATAAAAGAGTCTTCGGTGGCTGTGTGTGCGTTTGTCATTTGTGTAGTTCCAACCAGTGCGCTCCTTTTGCCAACACAAAGTGCTACATACACTGCTCGCTCATCATTTGTGTAGTTCCAACCAGTGTGCTCCTTTTGCCAACCCAAAATATTTAATAACGAAGTTATTAATAACGAAGTTTTAATAACGAAGTTTTAATAATGAAGTTTCGGAAGTCGCGTTTGCGCATGCGCAAACGCGTCCGTCGCTTTAACGAATCGATTCGTTATAACCTTAACAAATCGACCCCCGCGCCAATAACGAAGCTTCGGAAGTGATTTTGCGCATGCGCGGGGGTCCGCCATCTTAATGAATCAATTCGTAAATATTTACGAAATTTTCGTAAATACCGAAACTTTTTTTGGGAAAATTTTGTAATTATTTTAAATATCGAAACAAAAAAATACCCCAATTACAAATCGATTTTAGAACCAAATTTTTTCTTGATCAACCAGGCCTAATGGCTATCATTTGTTTACACAGCAATCTATTTCTTGAACAATATTCTTATAATTACCAGATTGATAGACTACAGGGTTAGAACCTCAGAAATCTATCATCCCAAAATAAACTCTTCCAAATCAGATAAGTGTTCAAAGAACATACATTTTTTTCTATGCTGCATAAAATTTCCATGTGTTTGGATACAAATGTTACTATTTAAATGTTAAGTCCTGCCATGGAATGAAATGAACTGTATGCCTGTTTTGCCTCCTGTCCAGGGGTCTGTATGGTTAAGCAAATTAAAAGCCCTTGTTCCTCCGTCTCATTATTTTGCATTAAAACAGATTTGGGCTGGATGGCATTTGAGACAGATGACAGCTTCAACAACAGGATTGTCCTGCGACAACTCTTCAAGTACAAAACTGCTCTCAACAAGTAGAACACAGCAGGCTAAAGTGTTAGCAAATTGGTCTAGTAGAGTACCGTATATTCCGGCATATAAGACGACTGGGCGTATAAGACGACCCCCAACTTTTCCAGTTAAAATATAGAGTTAAAACGACTCCCATGCATAAGACTACACCCGCGTATAAGACGACCCCTGACTTTTGAGAAGATTTTCTTGGGTTAAAAAGTAGTCTTATATGCCAGAATATACTGTAGTTGTCATTGTGTAATCAGTGATCCATAAAGTAACTGGACCTCTGAGTTCTCCATTGCCAGGAAAGAGATATATATTGATGATAGATTTATTTATTTATTTATTTATTTATTTGATACACTTGTATACCGCTAATATCTCAGCCTGGAACGGCGACTCATTGCGGTTTACAGCAGTTAAAACAATCTACAATTTAAAAACATATACACATACAATAACAAATTATTGGGCCACCAATAATAATCCCATATATCTCGAGTTGAAATCACAATCCAGAATTCGTTGTCCATATTTCCTGTCCTTAGTCATCAATATTCGAATTGCCACAGATTAGCCGAATGCTTGTTTGAACAGCCAAGTTTTGAGTCTCTTCCTAAACACCATCAGCGAAGAGGCTGATCGTACCTCTATAGGGAGGGTGTTCCAAAGCCGGGGGGCCACCACAGAGAAGGCCCTGTCTCTCGTTCCCGCCAGCCGCACTTCTGAAGCTGGAGGGATAGAGAGAAGGGACTCTCCGGAAGATCTTAGGGTCCTGGTGGGCTGATAGGCTGAGATATGTTCGGATAGATAAGTTCGGATAGATTGAGTGATGCACTGGAATTGTAAGCAACCTGTTATGCTATATAACTTTATGTATACCTAGATATATACATAAAGCTACAGCTAAATATAGCTAGGGGCCACGGTAGGGTTAAACCACTGAGCTGCAGAACTTGCTGACCAAAAGGTCTGGTTCGAATCTGCAGACGGGTGAGCTCCTGTCATTAGCCCTAGCTTCTGCCAACCTAGCAGTTCGAAAACCATGGAAGTGTGAGTAGATCAATAGGTACAACTTTGGTGGGAAGGAAATGGTGCTCCATGCAGTCATGCTGGTCGCATGACCTAGGTGATGTCTATGAACAACGCCGGCTCTCCATCTTAGAAATGGAGATGAGCGCCACCCCCCAGAGTTGGACTCAATTAGACATAATGTCAAGGGGAAACCTTTACCTTTTTAAATATAACTATAGTAACTCCTTTTGCTAAATTGCTTAATAGGATACCAGCAAGAGTGCCCAATTACATTGGTATCCAGTGTGCAGCAATACCAATCTAACATATAGCAAGACAAAAGCATTGGTGTCATAGTGCTTTGGTCCCGTTGTACATTAAGCATCAATGCTCATCTGGTATTTTGAAGGCTCTACTAAAATGCAGCATAACATCAGCCCTCTGTTGGATATGGATTTTATGCATACAGGAGTATGATCCTCTATTTTAAGGCTATTGCTCTCACTCTCCAAGCTTTTCGGTCTAGTCTAAAAGCATGGCTTTTTAGACAGGTCTTTGACCATGAGTAGATTTTAATGCTATTTATTTATTTATCATGTCATCTGCAACCAGAACATTGTATTACATTTCTAACAGAACAAAACAAACAGATAAAAAACCCCACAAATTTTGCAAACTTAGTAGCTGATTAAATGTCCTTTGACCAGTATCTGGCCACTTGGAGTGCCTCTGGTGTTGCCACAAGAAGGTCCTCCATCGTGCATGTGGCAGGGCTCAGGTTGCATTGCAGCAGGTGGTCAGTGGTTTGCTCTTCTCCACACTCGCATGTTGTGGATTCAACTTTGTAATGCTTAGACTTGAGGACTTAAATATTGCTTCACTCTAGAACATTGGGTTGTTAATTGAAGACCGCCAATTTTATCCACAGGCACTGCTGCATTTTATGCATTTTAAATTTTTTATTATGTGATGTTTTGTGTGTGTAAATTTGTGTTGTCATTGTTTACATGCTTAAGTATTGTTTATTTTATGTATAGCACTTGGAGTGCTTTTGTGCGCCACCCCGAGTCCCTTTGGGGAGATGGTGGCGGGAAATAAATAAATAAATAATTGGTTGAAAAACCAGCAGGAATCCATGCACAGCAGTGTGGTCTAACCTAGAGAGTGACCAGTCTGTTGTGTATTTCTGTTTTCTGGTTACTGGAATTATTATTTTTTAAAGCCAGATTGTCCTTTGCTGTGATCCAATAAGATTTGCCTTTCACTATTAAGGAAGTTAAAGCAAAGCAGCAGGCCACACACATTCTTATGGAAAGATAGATTGTAGATAGATTGATAGATAGAGCATCTTATTCTGAAGTCAATTCACTTCTATTTTAGTCCAGATGGCAAAGCTGTTCTTTTAACAAAAAAAAAATCCTATTACTCATTTTGATATTCAAAAATTGTTTGCAAAATGTTATTTGCTTGCACCAAGACTAGCACACTATCCCCTCCCTCCACAACACTTCAAGGACCTTCTGCAAGGGGAAGTCTGTTCTTCTACATGGGTTTTCCAGACATATAGTGGAAGCAATGCTAACCAACATTTGTGAGTCATACCCCATACCTATAGAAAACTTAAGCTACACCACAAGAGTAGTAGATTTAACCTTCATTACATTAATAATGAAATGTATTTTAGGTGTTTGAGAATGGATCAACACACTGGGAGAACCATTGTTGGACTAGATCTCTGGGAGACCAGGGTCTGAATCCCTGCTCAGCCATGAAAACCCATTGGGTAATTTTGGGCTACTCATACTCTTAGTCTCAGAAGATGGCAATGGCAAATCTGCTCTGAACAGTCTTGTTAAGAAAACCCTCTTGATATGGTCAACATAAGTCAGCAATGACTTGAAAGTACAACAACAATAACAACAACAAAGAAGTATTAATTATCTAATTAAATACTTTCAAGCTCTGGATTAAGTAGGGAAATTACTGATCCATAATGTCTGCAGTTTACATAAGCCCATGTCACGTAGTGATTGGACTATGACCCTGGAGACTAGGTTTTAAACCCACCTTTGGCCATGGAAACCCACTGGGAAACTAAGGGCAAATAACATTTTCTCAGCCTCAGAGAAAAGCAAAGGCAAATTCTCACAATGGGGTTATCTTATGGCCACCCTAAGTCAGAAATAACTTTGAAGGCAACAACATGACAGTGCACAAGGGAATGGGATGAACTTGTGAATTCCTCTTCTCTTCCTGAGAGAAACATTCCATCTTTATGGTAACAATAATTCTATTTAATTGCTTTTTTGGTATTTCATGTGAATATGCACTCCTTTTAATGTTCAGAAATCCTCAGGTGCTCTTGCTAAATAATTCATACTGAAATGAATCTCGCTGGGGTCTTTCATCTCATGGATACTTTTCTCCTGATATTAAAAACGAATGTCTTCATTATTAAAGTGTTGATAGAAAAGATGAGAAACATGGCAAGGCTTTGAACTCTTCTTTCATTACACCTACTGGAGGACTATGTTTGCTCAGTGAGTTATTTCTTGGATAACATCACCCTTTCCAACCTTGTTCTTATTTATGCCAATTGTCTAGAGACAATTTTGTTGTCCTAGTTCAGGATCATAATTTATTTTTATTTTTACTTACTCTATTATTCCAGCTATACCCGAGATGTTTTGATGGATTATAACTTCAACGGTGGGACCCAAAACCAGCAATGACAACCCAAAGACTTACAACAGACCCTTCACTTCCCTCAAAAGGGACTGGATCTCAGCCTTTAGAGTTCTTTTGATACTCTACCGCCCTCTACTGTTACTCCTGAGAAGTTCTTCAATGATGGGAAGTCATGTACTAGCCGCTTCAATTTCTGTGCTGTCCCTTTTGGCAATAATGGGAGACACGGACAGTAAAACTGACGGCACTTTCATGATGGATTCAGATCCAGGACGCTGTATGAGGCATCACTATGTTGATTCCATCAGTCACCCTTTGTACAAGTGCAGTTCAAAGGTACGTGCACTGGAGGATCCAGAGATGCCTACAAACATTTCCAGGGCACAGTGGGGGGAATATTTTTTGGAGTTTGGTTAAGTGAAATAATGGGTTTCAAATCTGTGGACAAGGTACATCATGCTGCACATCAGGATGGGGCTTAGTGCCATTTTGGAAGTTTCATAGATGGTTTCCAACATCCAACTAATGCCAGAAATTACCATATATAATGAAGAGTCAACTTCAGGTATTAGTTGAGGGTAGGTTTTGGGGACAAAATAATGGATTTTGATGTGACTCATGAATAAGTCAAGAGTCATTCCACTGAAAGGAGAAAAGTTCAGAGCCATCTCAATAGGCCAGTCGCCCCTGGCTGCTGCCACCTTTTTCCTACTCGGTCATTCAAAAAGGTAAGAAGCAGCATTACGTTGAATGGAAAACAGGACATAAGTGGTTCTTAAGGCCTCTCTTGCCTTTAGTCACTGTTCTCAAAAGAGGGGTTAGAAATAATAATAATAATAATAATAATAATAATAATAATAATAATTTTAAATATCCTGCCATCATCTCCCCGAAGGGACTCAGGCTGGCTTACAATGCACTCCAGGGTGCACATATAACATACAACAGGTAAAAACGGGACAAAAATATAAAGCAAGTCACATAAAATTATAACCTCTGTCCTTTTTAAATAAGAGTTAATGCACAGTACTTATATTGACCCATGGAAAAGTCAACCTACGGGTTTAGGGTCAATTTTTGACTTGTGCATCTGAATGTATTCTTTTGTTATTGGGAGGAGGAGGGTATAAAAAGGGACCAACAAGACCCCTTTTTTGCATTCTGTGTTAACATTCAACCCACGATGTAATCTTATTGAGATGGCTGACACTATAGTCAAAAACTTTTTATATTAATAAGAACATTATGTGTCTCATCCATTACCGGGAGGGAGAGAACTGCTTTGCCTAGATCAAAAAGAATTTGCACCAGAGCAAATCTACTCAGTAAGCCTATATCAACATCATTCCAATTTGTGTGAAAATGTTGGAACAATGTCTGTGAGAAATAGAAGACAGCTTGCTTGGTGACCGTGAGTGTACTTGTATCCAAAATCAAGCAACCTTTTGAAAAAGTTCCTTTTTTACTACAATTTCCAGATGCTTGGTGGGGAATTCTACAAAAATATAACCAAGTTCTGAAATGAAGAAAAATCTTACATCCTAATCCTATGCAATAAATACCACAACATAATAAAACTGAGAGCTGTAATAACATGGATTCAAAAATGTGAGGCAGTCACATACAGAAAGATGTTAACTGTTGTTTGTATAGAAACAGGCAAAAAGTCCTCTGTGACAACTCTAAAAGTCCAGTCCAGTTTCCTTTAAAATAAACATAATATTTAAGGGGTAATTCCTGGTGAGAGACCAGATTTTTTAGCACTTGGAGTGAATGTTATAATGATGCCTTGCAAACATGATTAGCAATGCTCTTCCTCTATTAGGTCTACAAATAGCTTGTTGCAAAGTGTTTTGGTTCGTTATTTTGAAAAGGAATGTGTCATGACCATGCTTTTCAAGAAACACAAGGCCCAAAGCCCAGTTCAGTATGCAGGACTACGGTAGTTATATATTTCTTTTGATTCTGAACGTGGGGTTTTCAGAAACAGGAAGACTTTCTAGAATCTGATGCTGAAGTAACGCTCTCATAATAGTTTTACCAATTGCTGGTTAAGGCAATATAATTTTTGTTTCTCCAGGTACGTGTATGCATGAAGAAATATATAAATTGGCCCATTACTAATTTATTCAGCTGCACTTCCCTTGAGTGTGGTTAAAATTGTTTCCAACCATAACTGTGATAAAAATTTCTGCTGACATATATTTGGTCACACATTAGCTTTCTTGGATAAGGACTTAGACAACCTGTGTAGACACAAAGTAGAATGTGTGAACTGCCTTAATGTTTCAGGTTGCAATTGGTTTGAATGTTTATGAATCTGAAAATATGATATGACAGCAAAAATGCTTGAAGAAAATGTATACACTACTTCTGAGTATTCCTTGCCAAAGAAAACCCTATGAAATTCATGGGGCTGTCATAAGACAACTTGAAGGCACATACCTGACCAACTACAAGTAAGCAACTAATGAATATGTACAAATAATATAGGGAAACATTTTTTTAATTACTGTATTAAAAGTGTACATTCCTTTTCAGCCCACTTGGGACCATGAAGTGACAAAAATAGTATAAAGTTGAATAGAATGAAACAAGTTTTAAGCAGTCTAAAAACAATTTTAAAATAAACGCTTGAAGCAAAATACTAATGTTTATACTGTATTGGTAAAGGCATAAGTAGCCTGAATTTTCTTGGGCTGAAGCTCTATTAGGCATACTGTCCCAAATTTTCCAATGTCCTCAAAATCCTATATAGAGGGGTCAGGGATCCTGCTGAATAAAGTACAATTTAGTTAGACAGGAGGGGTAGGTTACCAAAAATGGCAACAAATCACATTTTATGGGTAGAATTTTACTCATAGAGGATGTGTTTGCCAAAATTTTTCGACTTCACATAGGATACAGATCTTGACAAGTTTGTCTTTGCATGTGAGAACAAATAATGATGGCTTTTTTCCTTTTTGGTGCAGGAGAAAATGAATAGATCCAGCATTTTCTCAAGTGTTACCAAAAAGCTATTGTGCAGTGTTTCCCACACATGACACATTGTTTGTGAGTCAGGAGAACTATTTTCTCTGCAGAGAACAATTTTGGTCACCAAAAAAGAAGGAAAAGAGCAGGAAAAAAGCCCCAAACAAAAAAGTGTTTTTCTTCACTTTGGAGCGTGATGGGAAGTTTGACTTGTTGGTTGCCTTCATGTCAGCTCCAACTTATGGCAACTCTATAAGAGTTGCCAAATAGGAGATCTCCAAGTCACTCACCATCCTGCTCAAATTTGGCAAACTTGAGTCCACAGCTTCATTGATTGTATCTATCAACCTGTAACCTGACTTCCTTTTTCCCTTACTACCTTTCCCTTTATCTAGTATTTGTGTCTTTTCACAATATGTCCAAAGTACAATCGTTTGGTCATTTTGGTTTCTGGAATGGTTTGCACTGACGCCCATTTATTGGGTATTTTGACCATAGAACCTTCCTCCAGCATCAGGTTTTCTTCTCTTTCTTTCAGCTTTATTTGCTGTCCAGCTTTTGCAACCGCATACAGAAATCAGAAATATTTAGGCAGATAATCAACTGCCAGGGTGATATTGCATAAATATCTTGGTGGTCATCTTTGGGCCTTAGAATGTTTTGACCCGAGAAAGTATTGTTGACTCTTCATGTTTGTGAGTTTGACCTTGGCAGATTATTTGCTTTGGATTTGATTAAGATGTTCTCTCTCAGAATCTCTTGGTCCTCCAGTGCAATTCTATAATCAACTTCTGGCAAAGATTGACCATACAGCCATTATGGAGAAGCTAGTGATTTCTCAAAGAGGTGTTCCCTTTGGTGAAAAAAGTAGGATTTTTTGTATTGTTTCCCCACATTTGTAGGGGTCCTCCATCCCTAATGCCAATGAGTGTGGAGGGCTGGTTGTATTTCTCTTAGTTAAACATGTAATATGTATCCATTCTGAATATCATCACAAAGTCATGCAATCATAGCCACTCTGAGTCCCTCAATGAGAAAAAGAGGGTGGGAAATAAATAAACAAAATAAACAAATAAATAAATAAATAAATAAACAAATAAATACAAAAAGATCTGTATTGACCACCTTCTTATGAAATGGACATTCTACTGAAAAAATAATCACATAAAATTGAATATCTGGAAATGAAACTTCCTTAAATTTGATAAAGGAACACTTTAGAGCAAATGCATTGCATGAGGAAGGTCCAGGTCCTGTGCTTAGAATTTTCAAGATGGACTTTGGAAGCCAGTGTTGGAGACAATACTGTGCTAAATGGGTCAGTGTGATGAGATGACTTGATATATGGTCTCTTCCTATTTTCCTATTCCTGTTGGTAACAAAATCTAGGTAAAATTCCTGCAGTTATTGAGGGATAGGAGTTTTACTCACATCTATGAGGCTTATCCACATCCGTCATTCATGAATGCTTCAAACTTTATTTTCATTTGAGCCAAAAGCAGTAAATGTGGTTTACATATGGTTTCAAGTGATTTTTGGCCAACCTTTCGTTTTCATTTAGAAACATGAGAAAATGCCAAAAAAGTGTTTTTGTTTGAAATGTTGTGCTTGGAAATACTCAGTATGGCTTAATAGCAGCTGTTGGGTTTTCTGCTGTGTCCTGTTGGGTGGAAGGGGAGAAAGTGTGAGAGCAGCATCCATTGCAGCCCTGACACCTGCTGCCATTGCTGCTGACTATTTTGTCCTTGCCCTAGTTTTCTAGCTCGAAAAATCTCAAAATTTGCACAAGGACAAGACTGTTATACCTTGAAATATGAATTAGGTCCCTTCTGTTCTACTTGAAGAAAAAATGAAAACCACAAACAAGTGGTACCAGCATTGCACAAATTTAGGAGTTTCCAGGGGTGCAGCCAGGTTCTCATCTGTTGCAGCAAAAGATCCTAAAAGCTAACAAATACATTATGTCAAAGTATCTCACTAACTAGTGCATCTAATGAAATGTACATTTTGCCACAACATATCCATTAGGTTTTAAGCCATGGGTAAGTAATCAGCAGTGGATCTAATATCCTGGGGTCCTTGGCCAGATTTCTGAACTTCCTTGCTATCAACCTGTTCGATGTCTGACAAGAGCCATTTATCTTTTTCCTAGCAGTCTGCTGGGTAGTGAGAAAGACAATGGTAATATTTATTTATTTACAGTATTTATACCCTGCCCTTCTCACCTCAAAGGGGACTCAGAACACACATATGGCAAACATTCAATGCCGATTATACAATTAACAAGGACAGACAACACAAACTGAGGTAAAGGAACTTTTCCCCATCTTGTTTCTGGAATCTTGGAGGCTTTGCTGGACTCCAGCCATGGGAGGGGTGCTGTCACTCCATCTTCCATTCTGAGGAGTTTTCCTCCAATCAATGTCTTAAGGGCACCTTTATTATCTCCCTGCTAAAGGTGGTACCTATTGATCTACTCAAATTTCCGATTTCGACCTGCTAGGGCAGGTGCACTGGGGCTAATGGTTTATGTTTGAACATAAAATGGACCGGGTTTATGAGGAATAGGGAAGAAACAGTTAATGTTACACATGTGTAGGTGGTTTACTTTAAATGAAAGTCTTCTGGAATGGCCAAGGATGCCAGATCATGGAGTTAGTATAATTTACCATCCCTCAGCCATAATTTATCCTTGTCATATGTAAATTAAACATTCTTCATTTTAAAAAGGACATTTTCTTATTTAATATACTCAGAGCATAGCTCTCATGAGAAACATTCTGGGTTTCTTAGCAGTGCTGATTTGAGTCAGCCCTCCACATTCACTAGGATTAGGGTGCAGGATGCCTTCCAAAGTAAAAAAAAAACACAAATAAAAATGTTTTTAACTTCAGAGAAACCTATTTTGGACTACCCAGAAGTTGACAGTAGAGAGTCACACTGGAGATCTAAAGATTCCCCAAAGGAACATTTAAATCAAATCCATGAGTAACCAAATCTGCAACAGTGAAGCCCACTGTATCTTTCTTTATATGACAATTATAATAAAACAATTAGATACAATCTAGAAATGAGTCAGTTCTAGCATGGCACATTCTTCTTTTGTGGTCACATATTGCTCTTACTCCAGGGCTACCTTTCCTGATCTGTTTGCTGTCCTCCTTTTCAGATGGTGCTCCTGGCTCGTTGTGAGGGACGCTGCACTCAGACGTCACGCTCTGAGCCGATGGTGTCCTTCAGCACAGTCCTGAAACAGCCTTTCCGATCCACATGCCACTGCTGCCGGCCACAGACTTCTAAACTGAAGGCCATGAGGTTGCGCTGCTCAGGTGGCATGAGGCTCACCGCTACCTACCGTTACATCCTCTCGTGCCATTGTGAGGAGTGCAACTCTTAGGAGGAGGAAAAGTCTGCTGCAGCAGAATAAGTGAAAGGGACACAAGCTCAGCAGCAGTGCTCCCAGTGGCAACAATGGACACCAGGGTAGCCTTTCAACAGCATACTCGCACACAGGATCATTAATATGGATTTCATTTTCAAGCTACATAGAATGTGTGAACATTGACAATGCTTGGGAAAGTGCCAAATCATGAAACAGACATCGGAATGTATATTTACGTTGAAGACAAAAACTCATGTTATGGGAACGGAAGGACCTGAATACTGGGAAATATATATTTTATTAGAAAGATAATAAGGGTATATTTTTTGTCTCAGCAGTTCTTTAATCCTAACTATGGGCCAATTAGGAATTATGGCTCACCATTTGAATGTCCTGCCAGTAATGTAACAAACACACAGAAAAAAGCCAAGACATATAGAATATGTACAATGAATGTCATTGTGTACAGAATATTTTGTTCTAGAAGAAGTGAAAGATGATGTCCCTGTATATAGAAGCCTATTGTATCTTTTAATGTTGTCTCTTAGTTTATATTGGCCTTGAAAATGGACTGTGTTGATGGTAAGAGTTATATTTTATCTGGTCTGGCAGCCAAATGCTGGACAACTTATTGTGATTTAGGTGCAGTTACTAAATAAATAACAGAAAATTTATTGACCTACTTGTGAGGCTCCTGCAATGTTTGGAAGACATATTTACAAGGAAGGGCTGAGAGCTTCCAAAGTAGCCATGTCTTTTCATTCATACAGTACAAGAGTATGAATCTTGTGGAATCACTTTGAACTTCAAGCCTAGGCAGTTTTACTCAACCGTCAAAAGTAAAGAATATTGTAAACCGAAGTCAACAACATCTGGAAGACTATACAATACATATGTCTGATATGGTATAACTTTTTAAAAAAAGACTTCTTTTTATCATGTTAATCACATGGTAAGTGCAACCTTAATGGGTTTTCACCTGGACAAAATACAGATTATACGTGCTTTCTTGCTATGACTACCTTAAACACAATTCTTGAGACTGGAAGACTATTCACATCTTCATATGTGTTTGTGTATTGAGTCACTGTGATGCACATTAATATCTCAATGAATTAAAGCTAGGGCATTAATTATCAAAACAATGAGCTTCAGAAAAGTGTCCCTTTAAATTTGCAGAACCAAGAAGACACCACAAAACTAACAATTTCATCACAGCATGGGCAGCTTATATTAACCAAATACAAAATAATGATACTTGAGAAATTATTTTCATTCATCTTTCCATTCTCCAGTAAATATAATACCTATTTCAAAGGTATAAATGAAGTGGCATCTAAGAGTTATTATTGACAGCAGATAAATGGTGGAGTCTGAATTCTCATCTTAAAATGATCAGATAACTCTTGTTGGAAGAATGAGAGCTGGGCAAGTTTGTATAGTCAAAGAGGGTAGACTTTATTTCTCCCTGACCATTGATGGTTAATATAGGCTTTCATTGTGAAACAGGAGTCATTAATCAGTTTTAGAACCTTTTTAGCTCCAAAGAACATATGAGGAAATTATTCATCAGTTTCCATTCCAATCCCCCAATCAGTTGTATAAAGATCTAAGAACTGTGGTCATACTAAATTAGGTGGAAGGGTTTCACTGCACAATGCTAAATATGAAAAAAGTAATGTTGGGGGCCTGAAGAGAGCAGGCAAGCAGCCCATCTGTTCTGTGTCATCTAATCTGTCTGAAATAATTGCCATATATAGCAACCAGGATTTTGACAATTACATCACAGAGATTCCATTAAACGCACTGAAGGAGTCCCTCCTGTCTCTTGGGGAATGGTTGCCTGGCTAATGAAAACAACAAATGACATGTCCCCAACAAATTTGTAGCTAAGCAGCTTTATGACCTACATGCCCATAACTATGATCATCCAGGGAACGCCAGAGTTCTTTGTTATTGGCTTTCCATCAATAAACTAAAGAAAATGGAGATTAGTGGCAGGTGTGAGTGGATTTCTGAAGCTAAATTCACAGACAGGATATCATCCAGGACAGAAATGTGAAGAACATTAGGTCATCATAGATAGTTAGGGATTGCCTCATCTTGAGTGATCTTCAGCCCTGTGAAAATAAGTTGTACACATTATATTCATATGCTCTTGACATACATTTTGTTTGTATTATGGATCTAGTTTATATACAGGTACCAAAATTTAATGTCTGTGCCAGGGCAACTTATAGACTCCATCTCCTATCAGCACTAACTAACATGGCCAAGGTCAGGATGAACTGAGGGTTGCTGTTTGGAACAGACTTTTCAATCTATGCTTTCACATAAAGCCTACAATATCACACTGAAGTGTTTCTGCTCCTGTTTACAAATGAGGAAAGGCTATCAACTTCCATCCACTTAGTAAGTTCTTCCTGCTGCAAGTGGCTTCAAAAGAGAGTCATTTTTGTATTATCTGGGGGAAAGTCCTTTAAACCTAGAGCCTGCACCCAATTGGCAATTCAATTTTAGCAGACCTTTTAATTTGTAGGATATACCATTGTTGATTTACCATTTGGTAATTGATTCATTACTGAATAAATTCATTATCAATCAATATTGGAGACAAGACATCGGATTTAAGACTAACTTCTTAACATTCATCCATTGTCCAAAATTCCAAAATACTCAAAAATCTTAAATTGTCACCATAGATTGCCGAGATGGTGACATCTTAGCTTTCTGATGCTTTGATGTACACAAATGTTGTACAAAAATATTAAAAATATGGTTTAGAATTAGCATTACGATATCAGGTGTGCAGTGGGCCATTGGTATCCACTTGGGTTTGGTTCCAGGACCCCCTATAGATACCAAAATTCATGGATGTTCAAGTCCTGTCATATACAATGGTGTAGTAAAATGATATCTCTTATATAGAATGGCAAAATCAAGATTTGCTTTTTGGAATTTGGTGTGTTTTCAAGCTGTGGATGGTTGAATCAGTTCATGTAGAATAGATATGGAGAGTCAACCTTATATGAAATATAAAGGAATTCCATGTTTTAGCCTTGGGTATCATCTCCAAGAAAGCTCACTAGGAATGTATGTGCAGAGGCAGGTATTCCAAAATCTGGAAAAAATTAAATAATAATAATAGTAATAATAATAAATAATAATAAACCTTTATTTATACCCCGCTAACATCTCCCGAAGGACTCGGTGCGGCTTACATGAGGCCGAGGCCAAATACATCAGCAAAACAACAACATAACAAATACAACAATAAATAAACTCATAAAACAAAGCAATAAACCTTAAACGATATCAATAAACAATAAACAATAACACCATGATGCAATTAAAAACTATGGCCGGGCCAGATGTAATGATTAAAAATTTTTAAAATGCTGGAAATCAAAAAATCTTCTGGTTTCAAGAATTTTGGATAAAGGATACTCAGAATGTGGTCAGAATCTAATAACCATCTGGTTGCCACAAATTATTGTTAATATTTTCAAAATCTAACTTTCTATTTGTTCAGTAAAGGATTGGGAAAGGTGTCAAGGTCAATGTACTGTGCATAGAACTTGGAAATTTTACCATTTGGTAAATTTGCCGTGAGTATGGGAACTGTAATTAAACAAATGTAATATTTTCAAGTCTTGATCGAAGTTCCTGTTTATGCTCAACAAGGATCTAAAGGGAGCAAGACATTCAGAAACTCTTGTTCTGATCCGGCAAATAAGAATAATAAATTGAATGACGGCATCCGTATTTGACACATTTATATAGTCCACCAAGTATTCCACCAAGTTTCTTGGACATGAGTAGTCGAGAGTTGTAGATCACATTATTAAAACTATTTCAATAGCTAGATTATATTATCCAGGGAAATGTAATGCCCTGTTATTCAGTCCTCGTTAACTGTACTATTGGCATTTCTCAATGCGAAATCCTGCATTAGCATCTTCAGCCCTTTCCCACCCACTCAATGACATTTTGAGATATTTGTACGTATTGATCATATTTCCAAGCTAGGAAAGAAAGAACTAGATAAAGATGAGGAACAGAAAAACATATGATTACGTCATTCTTTTCCTCTCCCTGTTCTCTCTGTCTTGTAAACAGAGAAGGGGGAATTTTTTTTACAACAACATTTCACTTCAGAACAAACTTAGAAATATATTAATAGCAAGATAAAAGAACTTGTATTATGGGTATTTCCATATTTACTTTGCTAATACACTGTCAGTGCTATTATCACCACAGTAGGACACACAAAAGGTATGTGTGTGTTATTAATACTAACTCATGAATGCCTTCCCTTTTTACTACTTACATGATGTTTGTTGTGTGCTGTCAAGTCATTTTGGACTTAGGGCGGCATTAGGGAAAACATTTTGCTTAGAGAATATGACTTGCCCAAAGTCATCTAGTTGATTTCATGTCAAAGGGCCCTTTGATACAGCCATATAACACAGAATTTCAAGGCAGAAAATCCCACAATATCTGCTTTGAACTGGGTTATTTGAGCCCACACTGCCATATATTCCAGTTCAAATTAGATAATGTGGGATTTTATTCAGCTGTGTGGAAGGGGCCTGAGTGGGGATTTGAACCCTGGTCTTCCAAATTGTAGCCCAATGCTCAAACTGCTACACTACTCCAGGTCTCCATATGGTCATGATCATATGCTTATTTTGACATCAAAACCTGTTCTCTGCCAATGTTTAAAGCTGGATGTTTAAAACAATGCTGAAAATTTAAAGAAAGCTAGTAAAATATTAGGATGAAATAGTGTAAACAAACTGATATGGGGGAAGGGTTGCTCCCACACGCAGTCTGAAATTGCTATGTTTTCTGGACTCACATTTTATGGGACATCTTGAAATCACATCTAATCCTTGACCTTCTGTGTTTTATGTTTCCTCTGTGTTTCTTCCATTTTCCCCCAGATCATAGGAAGTTCAATTTTTTTTAAGAGAGAGAGACACACACACACATAGCATGGCCAGTCTTTAAAAATGGATTTTAAAATATGACTAAAAAAAGAGGAAAGGAGTGAAGGGAAATTACATAAAACATGAACATAGAATAGGAATGTACTTGAGGAAGGAGGGGTAGTCTGGAGCCAGCATGGCACAGGGGTTTGAATGTTGGATTAGGGCTGGAAGAAACCAGGGTTCAAATCCTTACACAACCGTAAAAAACAGCTGGGTGGTCTTGGGCAAGTTACATTTTACAGTATCAAAGGAAAGCAATGTGAAATCTTGCCAAGAAAACCCTGCAATGGGTTTGTCTTAGGGCTACCAAATGCTGAAAGCCTGAATGCACATATAGATAACACAGCACATCTGAATTAGAGCTACCTTTCTCCCTTTTTCAAGAGGTGTGGTTTCAAAATAGTATTATTACAATATTTATTTGTTTATACCCCATTTTATATCCCCAGAAGGGGGTTCAACGCTATGAACCAGTTCGTAGATTAAGATCTTCCGGGGAGGTCCTGCTCTCGGCCCCACCAGCCTCTACTCTCTCTGCCATGGTACCACTTCTGGTCTTTTTGAATGCCTCAGTAGGTAAATAGTGACTGTGGCTGCCAGGGGTGGCTGGCCCCCCTGAGCTGGCACTGGCACAGTCCTCTCTCTGCTGAATGAGCCTTGTCTTATTCATGGATCAGATAAAACCCAT